TACTTTCCATTCCATATTTGTTATAGTTTCAGTTACTAAAAGTTTATCTGATGCTATCACCAGTAGCAGTAATGACAGATCCACTTCAATGTTAATACCTTTGACAATCATTGATAATACATTAGTATCAGAAACTTCAAGCAGCATAGAACCATCAACAATATCAAGTTTGTACTAAATACATTTTATATTATAATACTGAAATCTGTTCAGTGCAATGCTTTCTTACTAACTGACATTTTATTGCAATTTTTAAGCATCTGAAAATCATCCAAAATTTTTAATCAATAAGTTGCTATTGCCTAGGATTTGTTGATAAATGGCTCCAAAAATTAACTATATTTTTTCTGATGCTTGATGTCCTAATGCTGTGTAGAAACTGGGCTATAGCCCAAGGTTTCTTTAAAATGGCTTTTTTCAAAAGTTTGAGTTGATTCCAATATCAATTTTTCAAGTTACAGCCAGTTAAAAAAATAGCCCAAAATCTGAAAAATACCCAAGGCTATAGCCCATGGTTTTTTCAAAAAAAATGGCTCTGAAATTACCCCAAATTTTTATTACATTTTCTGATACATATTGATGTCCTTATGCTATGTAGAAAATTTGAGCTGATTCTGACACCAATTTTTCAAGTTACAACCATTTTAAGAAAGAGCCAAATTCTAAAAAATACCCATACTATAGCCCATGTCCTTTCAATCCCAAAATGGTTTAATTTTTTGACATTATCTGACTATATAGTCAACTGCTAAATCATGTTTACAAATTAGTGACAAAGTTAAGCATGTGGTACTAAATTTCAACTAAGTAGTCAATTTACACTTTTCAATTATTATTACTTTTATTAGGCTGTACTTCTGCCACATCACAATCAGCATGTACAGGATCCATCATCAGTACTGGTTAGTTAATACATTAATGTATGTACATATCTAATGTATCTATTATACACACACATTCAGTTGCTATTGCAGTACCTATCACTGGTCTATTAACTGGACTCATTGCATCAATAATTACTAGTATCATTGTATACTGTATAATGAAGAATAAAGGGAATACACTAAGAGGAAGATCACCAGTAGACATTGGTCCAATATATGATTTACCAACTATCAACACTGAACAACAAGAACAAGTTATTGATACTAAACTTAACACTGCTTATGGACAAATTCAATAATACATTTATAATTTTATTTTGGCAGACATACATAAAAAAATAATTATATAGCAGCATGGTGTATCCTGACACAGCATCTTTTAAACTTACTATTTTACTATTGGCAAGATAAATCAATAAACAATGTCTCATTGATTTAGAGTAAACAACTTGCATAATAATTTTTTTTCATTTTTGCTGTAATGTATGATTTAATGACAGAATGATGGCACAATATAATTCATTCAAAGTAGTTCTGTGGTATTAAAACAACTTTCATGATAATTTCTATTTCATTTTTACTGTAAAAGTTAATGGTATAGAGGAATTCTACATTACATTTAATAAAAAAAGCTGGTTCTGCCTCTAACTATACAAAGTTCACCCCAAGAATCATTATCTAAAGAAGCAATTCAGGAATTGTGTAATCATGGTACATAGTTACTGGAAAGGAAGGTACCTGTGGCATAGGTTGTATAAGCACAGTAGAAATGGTATGTATGGAAGCCAAATTGTATTGTGCAATGAATATAGTGCATGTATGCTAGACTAATTTTCAATTATAGGTGTCACAATGAGGTGAGATGTCAAAAAATAATTTGTCAAAACACCTTTTATGAAAATATATAGAGGACCACTTATCATAATGATATTCCATTTTAAATAACCAAAATAAGTCAGTGTAGCGCCATAATCACCATAAACTATTAACAATAGGAATTATAGCAGGTAACAATAGTTATTGTGATAACTTTTAATATTTATTAACAACTAAAGGATGAGAAATAACACACGCAATGTCTCAGTGCTCATCATCATAGCTCATTATAATTAACATTGAATAGACAACAAGGATTTAATTTCTTTCATTTACAATTTAAAATGTGTACACAATACAAGCATATTAATAATAAATTTAGTAATGGTGTAATGAATGACAGAAATGTCATACAGAGACTGGTTGAAAACCATGTATGGTAAAATGTCTATTAAAATGTAATATTTGATGCATAGACTCTAAACCTCAAAGGAGGGCATTCAATCAATTAATAATAATTAAATCTCCCATCCCACTTCTTAGGAACAGCATCAGTCATATGGATTCATGCATCACATTAATACATACTGCACTTCACTGATTAATCATTCGGTCAGTCAGTTTGCGATAGAATAATGTTTCGGCTTTCAATGCTACTTGAAGTCTTTTGTCTTCTTATCTTTTTCGCTCATCAGCAGGTTATTGCTGAGGTTGTTACTTGCAATCACAATACTCCAGTATGTGAGTGCATTAGGACCAATGATGAAGTGTGTAAGTTTACACTTGATATTGAAATGCTGCAGACCTTTACCCGATATCGGGTTGATGATACTGGAGACTCTCGTGGTACTGCAGGCAGTGTCTGGCGTATTAATAATGGAGAATGGGAACCAGTTGATCCTGCAGACAATCTCTGTGGTACTGCTATCACTGATCCAGAATGCACTCAACCGTTTGGTGTTGATGGATACACGTTTCGTTCCTTTATAGCAGTCAATGGACGTATACCAGGACCAACACTCATTGTAACTGAGGGTCAGTTGGTTAAAGTGAATGTAATCAATAGATTAGCATCAGAGAGTGTATCTGTACACTGGCATGGGATGCACCAAAGGAACAGTAACTGGATGGATGGAGTGGAGCATGTTACACAGTGTGGTATACCACCAGGAGCTAGTTTTACTTATATCTTTAAAGCTGAACAATACGGGACTCACTGGTACCACTCTCACAGTGGAGCTCAGAGAACTGATTGACTCTTTGGAGCTCTCATTGTTAAAGAGAAGGACAACACACAGAGAAAAATTCTGTTAAGTCAATTAACAGATTTTGATATAACATCCTATGAAGACAATTCAGAAGATCACACTCTAAGCTTTCTAGATTGGCAGAAGAGCAGCTCACTGGATCTCTTTACACAAATAAATTCTGGTATCAGGTACTTTGACATTGATAAAGCATCGGAATTATCTAGGCAGGCTGAAGCTAGTAGAACCTATTCATCAGATGGTGATGGTGCAGAGATAGGGCCAGTGTCTTATTGGTCTGGACTAATAAATGGAAGAGGAAGGCATAGTAGTGTTGATTACATCAATTCTAGTCTAAGTGAGTTTAATGTCACAGCTGGAAATACGTATCGATTTCGTTTAATTGGTGCTCAGAGTCTTTATGCTTATCGTTTCTCAATAGAAGATCATAATTTAACAGTAATAGCAACTGATGGTCAGTTTATTGAACCAGTGAGAGTTGACTATATCATAATACACTCTGGAGAAAGATATGACTTCCTTTTGAAAGCAAAAGAAGAAAATAAACTAGTGTCCACTCAATACTTCATAATACATGCAGTTACATTAAGTATGACTGGTGCTGCAGCACCAGACTATATAGAACAAGAGTCAGCAGAAGCTATTCTCAATTACAATCCTCTTGAAGTAAGATCCAGTCAATATGCAGGTATTGCTGCAAATAGACTAACTGTGAGTCAAAGATGTGCTTCTATTGATAAATGTATAGCTCTTAATTGTCCATTTAAGAACTTTCCCCAAAGCTTTAACATTAACTGTACACACATTAATGAGTTAGAACTACTAACTGACTATCCGAATGAAGACTTGCCAACATTTGCTGACTCAAGGTTATTTTTTAATTTTGGTTTTGAAGGCACACGACTCACCAGCGCCATCAATGCTCAGTGGCAGTAACTCAGAGAGAATATAATAAAGAATTCCAAGATAATCATTTTGACATTCTGCACATAT